AAGTTAAATTAGTTAAATTTATCTACATCTTTGTTTAAAAATAGTCAAATTGGATCCAAATTTCTATGAAATATTATTTACTCATAGTACTATGGATGAACATTGATAAATCAAAAATATATCGTAAACCCTTTCCTCCAAATTTGATAGAAATATTTTCTTTTATTTCAATTTTTCAACCAAAGTTTTTGGGGTTTTGGGTATGAAAATTAGACCGAAGGTAGATCTAGAATGGAACTATAACATACACAACTTTCTCAAAAATTTTCAGTCACACTTTTTTTTAGGAAAAAAGGTCGATTTTCAGGTTGCTATCTATGAGAAATCAACCTAGGTAATGAAAATATTTCCATTATATTGTTAATTAAGATATAAAATCGATAGCTATGATAACACATATTTATGTACAAACGATCGACTTTAATCGTATTCACCCTAATACTAAAAAAGATAAATGTTTAAGCACATAATTGTCATATTAGGTACAATGCTTTTCAGTTTTTAATAATTTTTGTAGACCTGCTATGACCTCCCTGTCCCCACTATACCACTGTACTGGTGTTTTATATATAATATTTTATTTTTAGTGTTTACCATAAGTGTTGCATGTTAACCGAGAAATTATCGCCGTCGATAATCTCGGTGGACATTATTCGAATTGCCACATGTCATGTTTGCTGTAAATAAAACAACATCATAAACTAATGCAAATCACTTTAAGTTATTTATATCCGGTCAATCCAAGTCCTATTGGGAATCGATCACAGGAAAATTGAAATAACGCAATTTAATGTTTTACTATAATATTAATATTTTTAGGTAAAGTTATGAGTTGTCCTTAATCATGCCGACAGAGAAAAACAACAGTTGTGAGAGTTATGTAACGTCCGTAGAATAATGTTGGAAGTGTGACAACAAAAAAATAATATCTATATAAATACCAATTTTCCAAAGTGGTTGTACAAGCGGCTGAAATTGTGTAAAAGTGTCTACATTACAATAATAATAGTATACCCTTGTGTGTTATGCAATTATTGTTTTCATACTAATGCATCAGGAAACGAACAATATAGTTCAATTCAAGTATTTCATATGTATTTCATATAGTAAACAATATCTCTACCAGCAGAAAAAAAAATATCAAAAACTCTTTCTCCCAAAAGGGGTGAAAACTTTTCCTTAATTTCGCTTTAAGGTGTAGTTCAAAGTCTGAAAATTACTCAAAAATTTCCAATAAACTAGTGGCAGAAATAAAAATTTGTCGTTTTTCACTCAATTAGCTTAACATTAAAATTATTGTCTTTTTTGTGGTTTTCAAAAACGTTTTCAAACCGTGATCATACATAGTACTAAAATATCTAACCTAAATTGCAATATTGTCACAGCGTAACAAAAATATGGAGTTCCATTTTTCACGCGTTAAATTGTTTTCAATCAAATGTTGTTTTATTAAAAACCTGTTTTTTTTTAAATAACTGTTTTTGGGTACATTATAGGTTTTTGATCTGAATAAATTTAGACCACAATTGAATCGGTTTTGGTAAAAAAATTTACATTAATAATAATAAGTCAAACCGTGCGTTTTCATGGTGCCTACTAATAACCGCATTACTATGTCGGTTTGTCGACGTTGTCAAGACCACAAAATTCGGTATCTATCAAATGTTTGTTCTAATCGAATAAAAAACACTTTATAACCTTTGTAGCAATTGTGGCGTTCTGTGTTGTATTACTATAACTGCCATACATAATAACTGTGCACCCCCGCCAATTGTATACAGAGCCAACAACAATGATGATGCGACGACGCTTAGCCGTTTATAAATTGGAATTTAATAATTGAACGACTAAATACCGAACTACGCCGGCGGTTTTAGCAGTTGACAAATAATACTATCAAACACAAATACGTATTATTGAAATACACGACCGAGTAATTTACTACTAATTCATGCTGGGCAAAATATTAAATGTCTCGCCCAATGGAAAACCGAAAACGTCACAACCACAATACACACAATTGCTCAAACACAATTGCTTTAAATTCACAAAACACAACACAATTTAAAATAATATCATATAAAATATATTTTAAAACTACAATATTATTTTATGGCGCATTGTCGATTATAATTAGTGTTTTACTATATATAATTATTAATTGCATTTTATAATGATACAAATTACATAATTCGGAAACGTTTAAAGGATAAAAATGTATAATTTAGCTAGACGTTATGATAATATTTTTTTATTGAACCGTATTGGTGGTTTTAGATAACAAATCGCCATTTGTTACGACAAAATTGTAAGTAAAATTTTGTTGAAAAAAAATTTAGCAGAAAAAAAAATAATAATTTGCGTACTGTAAAACGTTTACATTTGCAAGGGTAGTCTAATATATATATATATATAGGGTATATTACCATTTTTTTCTACGAAAAATATATCAAAAATACAGTAACAACAAGTGTGAATTTTTTTCCTAAATATAAATGTCCTATATCAAAAGGAAACATTTCATTAAATTTTTTCAGACTTCTAACACTAACTGTAATAGTAAATATTTATTTTTAATTTCCTTAAATGTATTCTTTACAGTGCAAATAATTGTTTCAAATCCCTGTATAAAATTAAAACCTTTGAAACGCTAAGTACAATTTCCCTTGAAAATATGGAATATAAATATCGCAAAAAAAAAAGCTTTTGAGTTGTAAACATTAATAATATTAAACTTAAATCTACCTACTTGGATAAAAATACATCTTTGTGTTTTTTTTGTAATAATATTGATTTTTAACTTTTGCTAAATGGAACGTCTAAAAAATATATTGCTGATTTGTATTTTTTACAAAACGAAAATTGAGTTGTTGTGACTTTAAGTCTTGGGCTTATTTTCTTTTGAAAAGTTTAACGGGGAGGGGGGGGGGTGGAGGATGGAAGAGGATGCGGGTAACTAAAGAGCCCTCCCCTCCCCCTCGTATTTGTTCAAAGTCAAAATATAACTTAGTTTTTTTCTATAAGCTTATAAATATAGTTTTTTTTATATATTTCTGGCCTTGAATATAGCTAATTAAATTAAAATATATACATAATCGAGTCTTGAGTGGCAAAAGTGTTTAAAATCCAGGTCTCAAGTATTAAAAATAACAACAGTTAATACTGAATTTATTCAAATAATACTTATTCGTTACGATCGTATTAATATTATTATTGTAAACAAACCTTATAGCCCAACCAACACAGCTAAGTACCAATTTTGCCTATTCGACACGCCGCGTTATGATACATAGTAACTGTTTTTTTTCCTAACATAATATTATTATTTTGTTAAATTTCAAATTTTGTTCGGTTGGGTATTGAAATTTACTATTATTATTATTGTTATTATGTCGTATGTAGTCATTATAGATTTATGTGCCTGCACACTTTTATGACTTACTACAATATAGCTACCGAATGAAAAAAACAAGAAGTGTAGGAAGACTAGAAAACGACATTTGTTCTCAAAGCTATAACCATAAATAAAAAAAACCGTTTAGATACAGGACACAATTTTACATGCACAATTTGTATTTTGTGATATTTGCAAATACAGTATTAATTATTATTATTTCAAATACTTGAGACCTGGATTTTAAACACTTTTGCATTGATGTGCTCTTAAAAAACATATTTTTCTAACTGTTAACCCACTACTATTTTTGCTTAGAGTTCTTCATATACCTACATCCTGTATATGGTTGTTAGAACATATTATGCATTAGAAAAGTCACTGTAAAGCTAATAGTGGCCAGTAAAGGAAAGCACATTATAAAACGTCTTGTATAAACACTACTAACACATTGTCTATAAAAAAAAACATAAAGTCTATTATCGTAAACCGTACCAAAGTTAGAGCTGCAAATATCTTTTACACTGTTCAATGATGTTCTATTGTGCATTTAAATTGTAATAACTCACACTTAAGAAAATAAAAAAAAAGTAATCAATCTCAAGCCATTCCGATTGAAAAAGAGGAAAATAGTTTTACTTTAATTTACCAAGCCGGGACGATAAGTTTTTAAGTATGTTTTATATTTATACACAAAAAATAAAACTCTTAAGTTTTAGCCAAATTTAAAGTATAAAAACAGACGTTTTGATCCAACCCTAATGTGGCATTCAAAAATTAAATATAAAAAAAAACCAATTTTATATTATTATAATTTTTTCTTCTACTCTTCAAATAATTTTTATATTTTATAATGATGATCACTATAATTTGGTATTGAAATAATTATCAAAGTATATTTTATTAACTTTTTAAATTAGGAAAACTTAGAAAGGTCAATAACTGGGTTTGAATGAATAATTTTGAAAGCTCAAAAATGTAGGACGCTTTTTAAGAAAATTGTATTTATTAAAAAATTTAAATAATAGTTATTTTTACCTGCGCTCACTACTCGGTCTCACACTACCTACCGTTCTTAATTTTAAAATTAAATATCATAAAAAATAATTATTACTCAAAACCAGTTATCGAACAGTCCAAATTTTCAGTAAATCACTGTTAATTTTAAAATTCAACTACCGTTTAAGTTTCAAAAGCTCTAGCAAATAGGCACTAAAAGAGATAAAAATTTAAATATTTTCTTAAATTGTACTATAACATATAATGTATACAAATATTTTCAAAAATAAACATAACTATTGTATTTTATGATTTTTATTTAAACATTTTAGTTTCTCGTAATTTAAATAAATTAAATTTGCAACTTTTCGATATTACAGCCCATTTTGTTTACATAAAAAAATCAAAAAATATAAAAAAAATTCGTTTCCTACATGACCCAGTAGAGTTGTTAAAGAAAGTTCTTGAGTAGTCGAAATTTTCTCTGGCATGCAATCCCCTTAATATTAAGTACATAATATTATATTACATTATCTACTATAAGCAAACGATCTAGTCTATGGCAAACATTGCAATAGCAAGTACCGAATTACGTTCAAATACTCACTCTAGTTATTATAACGGTATTGTTGAATTTTTTTTTAAAAATGTATCGATTTTTTTCTTAACAGAACCGAATCATTGACAATATTCTGATCGAGAAGGGGGGTGTTTTTTTTTTTTTTTGTTCAAAACTCGAAACACGATTTTACACGACCGCCGGCAACGCTATGCCTTCAGATCCGTTCACGTTACTGATGGCCTGTAAGTATAAGCGGCAAAAACCGGTGAACGCGACCGTGACTTCGTGCAAGTTCGGCTGCGGTCGTCCGTGTTCGCAGGATATTATAATAATATCCTTATCCGACCCAAATAATGCTGTATACAACACTCTGTACACAGCGAGCCATTCGATAGTGTGTTACACGGTGTCGTTAAACTTGGGTTGATGTTTATTTTAATTTTTTTTTTTTTTAGTCAAGTACTTTGTACACTGCACACAGGAAATAATAAAATAATTAATGTAGACGTTTTATGTTCAGAAATCGCCGGCCGATTTAAACAAACTGGCCGACGAAAAAATAATTTACATAATAATAATATATTGTTTTGTCGAAAACTTATATTTTACATTTACACCGCACCGTCGCTTGTATACAGAGTGTTCAGAATATCAGAAACATTTTTTATTTCTGTCAAACAATAATAGTTTAATGTCTGAAGCTAGATTTAGGAGTGGTAAATTTTGAAACTCAAATGGTAATGTATACGTCATACAATATACATTTACCTTTAACTTTGAACTGTTCACTGTGTTTCTGTGATGTTTGTGTTAGCCGGCGATAAGTCTAAACTTGCTACTTTTGGGAAAATGTAAATACAACATTGAAAATTTACCGAGAAAATTGTTTTGGTTTCTAATTTTAATTTATAAAATTTTTATTCAAACTTCATTACTATGTCAAGTGACAATTTTAAAATAAAGTCAATTTGCAGTACTCGACTTATCACCCTTTGCCCAAAAACCACGGATTTATTCTAAAACAATAATTTATTACTCAGAGTATGCCTTGACAATATACAGAGTGGTCGGTTTTAAGCGCGACACATCTCTTAAAATAACATTGCAATTTTGAAGTAGTTCTTTTTGAAAAAAAAAAACGTTCCTTACAATATTATATAACAATACCGCTGTGTCTGTTTATATAAGCCCTCTTTTAATGTCGGTTTGGATTTCGAAAATCTTCTTAGGTTCAAGTCTGTGTACCAAAGTAGATATTAGCGGTTTCTTCGTCCTCATTTTCGGTCCTATTGAAACGTTATACTTTAGGTACATTGCGAGTATCATTATGTTGTTTTAGCAATACATTTCTCATACGATATAATTGAGAATTTCCATTGTTTGAAGGCCATTATAAAATTACCTTATTATAGTACACAACTATTAAAAAAAAAAAAATACAACTGGAATATGATAAATATAAACATCATATCAGATTTAGCAATCATATTGAAAACGATTTTAACAAGTTTAGTTTTATATCTTTACTATATATTTAACCATAAGTTTGCTTAACAGTTTTTTCTAGATTAAGTTTAATTTGACTGAAAATTTAATTTAGAAAATTCAATCTTTCCATTGAAGAACACGTTGGATCATGAACGGCTGAGTTTTCTGTCTCTTATAAGTTATATTTATACGTTAGGTTTTTTTTTTACAAAACTTAGGTTTTTTAATTTGGAAATAGTTGCTACTGTAGGAAAATTTTTAATAAAATATTTGATTTTTTGTATTTTTTATTGAAAAGACTATTATAAAAAGAAAAAATACCGTCCCGCGGGTACGTTCTTTTGTGAAATAAACGTGAATCGCTAACTAGATGTCGTTACGTTAACTCGAGTGATCATCAATCATCAATATGGGTAGTGAATTAAAAAAAATAATAACAATATTAAGTTACAATAATTTTTTTTTGTAACCTCTTCGACGCAATTTAAACATTTTGCGTACCATTAGTATTAAATTATGTTGCATTGGAAACGGAATAGTGGAAGCAGAAAAAGTATTTTTAGTTTTTACACGTCAAATAACAGGAAGTTATTACAGCAGTTAATAATCACAGATAATCCACTTTAACAGTCTAATTATTTATACTTCATTGTGTATGCAAAGAAATGTAATATCGCATAAACTATATCAAGTAGTACGTGTGTAAAATTAAATAAATGAGAATATTATTAATATTAGTAGTAGTATTAAAAAAAAAAAATGACTAAAAAAAATGTATATACATACATTTAAAGTAATCGTTTACAGTACATTGTTGTAATAATTATAGTTTATATATTGCGCAGTATACCACAGTGTATTTTATTAATCGAATAATTGGTAGATTTTATTTAAATTTTATTTTTAATCTTCTTATTAAAAGTATTAAAAAAAAAAGTTAAAACTCATAATTGGTTCGACTTGGAGAAGTATTTTCTGGCTAAGTTCATCCATGCCGATTGTCCCAAAGGATAAAAGTAAACTTCTGCTTTGTATATTATTTCTTCCCTTTAAGCATCGAGCCGGAAATTGAGATGGTATTGGTTTTACAAAAAAATATTTAAGTTAAGCTTTTTCATATTGTACACATTATTATGATATTATCCTTTCAACGCTGTGTCGTTTTCACAGACTTTCTGGATATGTTTATTCTTTATTTAAAAACTCCTTCCCCGCAAAACTTTCTAAAAATGTAAAGTTTCAAATTTAAATATTATAAAAAAAAAATCACCAGACCACGTTGAACGTTTTTTTTTTACATTACACAGATATGATAAAATAAATCATTATCATTTTATAGTATAATATTTTTTAATCTAGCTGAGGCAGATATTCGACTACTTAATTTTGGGGTTCAAATTTGCAAGTTTAAAGTCAAAACTATTAAAAATAACTCGTTAATCAATAACAATTTTATTGCATTTACAAAATTATACCTATTCTTGTCATGATTTTATTCGATTTTTAATTGCTATTTTTTTATATTATAATAGTTTACCAGTAATTGAGTTTGACTATTACTATTCTACACTAAAAAAAAAAACATTTTAGGCCGACTTCATAGCTATTTGTAATGAAAAATCCTGACCAAGTACAGTATAAACTATGAATCAGTACAGAACAAAAAGTTGGGTAAAAGTAATTATCAAATCTGAATGTGATTAAGTAGTAATAGTAAAAACTACCAAATTGGGGTGCAGTATTCACAGATTCACATCTAATCACTACTTAGCTGGTTTAAACTGTGCTTAATTAGACTACATTTTAATACTGTGCTAGATTCTTGCTATTTCCAGATTCGAAGCATTTAATTGTGATGAAATCAAGTTCAGAATTAATAATTGCTTTGACCCAACTCTGCTAACTTCTTGTTTTGTGATTTTTTAAATTCCACACTCATATTATGGGTTAAATGTCAAGTTTGTCAACCCATAAAAGCCTTCAAAATCTACGATTATATTGTTTAAGTCACTTTTCTGAATTTTTTTTATACACGTCTTTGAGATATGTTAGACCTATTTTCAGCTCTTAAATACTTTTAAAAAAACCCTTCAAACCTCCCCCCGGTGGACGGCGAATTGTGAAATTCGGGGAGGTTATATAGCAAATTAAATTTGACAGTTGATAAACCTGTCAAACTTTTTTCCAGTTTTGGGGTTGAAGGAATTGTCTTTAGTCAAGTGCTAAGCGATTTTGGATCTATAGAGGTGCTACTCGAGTAAATCGGTCCATATAGGAAAAAAAAGTTATCGTGACTTGAGACACAAAGAAAAACACAACTTTGTAAAACTTGTATCTTCTCAGCTACCGCATCGAAGCTTAAAACATGTATAATTGCTTTAATTTATTTCAACAACTTAAAATCCTTATTACGTTAGTTTTTTATGTGCTTACAGTGGGGATTTTTTTTTTTTTTTTAAGCATTTCAGCAATTCGATTTTTGAATAACTTCATCGAAATTCTTTTCGACAAGTTCCCACGAACAAAGATCACACGTGCTTCCATCTCCCAACTCGATGCGTGTTAACACTTCGTTGATGTAAAACGATACCTTCATTTCGCCATTGCCACAATCGCACAGTACAGCCGTCATGTTTGCACCGAACGGGTTCAGCTTGGATGTTCTCCAATTCCTGTCTTTCATCTCGTCCATGTTGTCATAGGTCAGCGGTTTTATGTCCTTTGCCACGCCTAACATCACTGCTGTAACAATCATGTTTGAACGATGGGCAAAATGAAACACCCCTTTCGGTCCCCGACCACCGGCTTTTTCTCTAAAACGATAAGGCAGGATTTTAATAGTAAACGGTACGATCATAACAATATCACTGTAAAATACTTGAAACTATCTTTGAGCTGCTTGAGCATATGACAAGCGATTTTTTCATGTATCGGACAACCGTAACCGAACGAATAGTACCAACCGAGGTCATCCATGTATTCCAAAACCTGCAGCGTTGATAATGTAATTACTATTTTTTTTTTTCAAACGTTTAAACTAATAACACTATAAAATAATAATATGCCCGCGAATGTCTGATCTAGTCTATTTTTTCCCATGGATAAGGTCTCATCATCGTCGTCATCGTCATATCTCAATTAGGCAGTTTATAGAATAAAGCAGTAGTTTAAATTTAACTATAGAACAGCGTCAGGAAAAATAAATTATTTTCTTTTACAGAAATTTGAGAGTTAACTGCTGTTTGCGATTTTTAAAAATTTAATTTTACTTCATTTGTGTGTGTTTTATCTACTATTAATTTATTAATTTATTTATGTATACATATTATATATTTTTTATATACATATAAGCATATAATTATAATGCATATATCATTAAAAATGTAATTCAATTTGTAACCCGTTGCCATTTTAGGTTCGAATTAAAGCTGAAACTAAACTTTAATTAATTGTCACGGAAATTAAACGTTATGTTTACTATTGTTAAATTTTATATAAAATTATTATTAATAAATATTCAACATAAACATATTTACCTTGAGATCCTCTTGTACAAAAACTGTGCACCAAACCGGAGTTGATGTAGGGTTCGTAGCTCTGACTTGGCGACACGATTCATAAATGGTTTCCAGTTGTTCTGTATACAGTTTAGTTAATAACTATCTATTGTTTAATGTAATGAAATGAAAGATTTAGTGAACATGGCTCCGCATGGGTTGTATGGGTAATGCCAAGAATCTAAATTAAAACTTCATAGTAATATTGTGTATCGTGAAAATGAACAGTATCAAATTACAAAATCAATAATAGGGTATTGGTTAATATTAGGTATTTCCAGAACTCATTATTGGCAGCTGTTAAAGTTCAAAAAATTGTAAACCCTAAAGCATAGTACTTGAACACATCCAAAGAATGTAAATCCAAGACCGCACATTTTTTTGCTTTTGTCGAATCGCCAAAATTCATCATCCGAAAATTCACTTCCGAGTTATGATGGTGTCAAGATAAGTTAAGATATGAACGACGACCTTTACTAAATTGTATTTATTTACCAAGAGTGATAGTAACGCCTTCCTGTAGGTCCATTTTTGTAGCGACTCTGGACAATACTTTTGCAAAGGTATCACTTTCCTTGAATTTTTTTATCTGTGTTTCTGGTGACTCGTGTGGCTCGACTGCAGGTTCGCTTAACAGTAATTGTTCTTTCAGCACGTACAACTAAACAAACCATTTATGTTAAAAACAAAAATATCTAATTCATTCGTGGTTCTCACTTACATTTGGCAAAACATTGTCGTCTATATTTTTGGGAAGTTTAAGTTCTTCATCTCCAAGTGCAGCTTGCATAAACTTCTCGGCGCTAGTTACACAACGGGGTTTTGGTGCCGACACAACCTATTCGAATAATAGATACTATTAATTTTAAGAATGAAATTCGGAATCAACATAAGTCGAACGACATAGTTTATTATTACTTTGTACACGCCATTTTCTGGATCATAAGGTTCGTCCAAAAGACTTGTGAACGCCGCCCGTACTCTTTTCCCCAAAGCTTTCATGTCACTGACTCCTTGGCTGCTTAAGTTTTTGTCTATTGTCCCGTCGTTGTGTATTTCCCAATTTTTCAAATTCTCAACGTCTTTTTCGTTCATTTTCGGTTTGCCCATTTTGTTTATGAGATCTTTCAACTTGGTCATTTTTTCGATATAACTATTAGCAGAATGTCTTGTCCCGTGTCGATTTATCATAAATATCTGCATTGGTTTACATTCTATAACGAAACATTATTGGTATTACTTTCCCAGAAACACAACGCCGCATGATTATTGACCACGTTGACCACTCGTTGTGATGGGCACAATAGTTTAAAAATTTTAAAAAATTGTACTCGACATAATATACGGTAAAAGTTTTGGTAATTATTACTAGTACCTCGTTGAATTTATACCAGAAATATAAACTAGACAATAAGCTCACCGGATGGTAGTGGTTGAAATGTGTTTTCTAAATTGTAAACTGTTTTGCTACCAAATTGCCAATACGGATCGGTATCTTCATAACGGTCGTAGTGAATTGGCGGCTGGACATATGTTTCGGGTTGATGTAGGAAATCCTCGAAATTCCTTACAGACTCTGAATCAATACCAAAAATAAACAAGGCCAATACAATCCTGGACAAAAAAAAAAGCAATATTGGGTTGTGTATCTTCTGTACCGACTGTATAAGTTTAGCATAATACATTTGTTAGTAATGTTAAACTACATTAAATTTTTAAGCTAAATATTTCAGAACGGCCATAAAAATTTTGTATTTCCAAAAAACGTCTTTCCGACTGGACAAAGAAGAAGAAGAAAATCAGTTTATGTTTTACCCAGTCCTGTCGTAGCTAAGAAGTTGAACAAATGCTGGATTTTCAAATTAAATAAAATCTACAGATATTAGTCTGTGATCGAAACCAATAATATAGATATTTGTGTCTTCGAGTAACAAATGAAATAATATAAAATTCGAAATGAACTCACTTATATAAAATCTCGGAACTAAAAAAAAGCAAGGCCATATTGCTGGTATTTTGAAAAAATTAGCTTAAAATGTTTATTAAAATTATTTCAACCTAGAACTTGAATAATTGTTATCGTGTAATGAACGAAATGCGAAAATCAGCGTTTGGTTTTTGTGTAACACGAAGATGTCTACAGTAGTACAAATATTATAAATAATAAAACAATTTATACAAATATTATATTAAAACAAACTATTTTACTAGACTAAACAATGCTTTGCGTTTTTTATATTTACACAAGTATATTTGTTACTAGGTTAAAATGTACGAACAAAATAATTTGTTTAAATTAATAAAACTTGCTGTCCTATTGCTTAGCTATTTTGTCTGATGTTAACATGATCACGAGTGGAACATGGTCAAAGTTCCATATTTCATATGCCGAAATGTTTACAGAGCGATGCTTAATTTTGCTAAAATGAATTCAAACGCTAATTTTTTTTTTTTTTAATTGTTGTCCACATATTTAAAAAACTAGGACCATACTTGATTTACGTACAAGAGAAGAAGATAAACAATTTTTAAGTATTGAAAAATATAGTAAAATATGTAACTAAGAGACAAGAGTATAGGAAAAAATAATTTGCCATTGCAGTCTACTACACGTCAAAAATCTAATTAATTTAGACATTTAAAATTTTTTTTTTTTTTGTATAAATTAGGTCGGCTGCATTCGATTTGCCAAGTAAAAAAATCTGACACAGCATATGGGAAAACCATGTTTTTTTTTTTGTAATTTGCTAGTGCCTACAATACACATCGACACATCGCGGATGCGTTTTATTTACTCTACTTCCACACAGACAAAAATTGTACTATTCTTTGTGTATACCAAATTTTTTTTTTTACTTCAAAGCTCAACTGGAAAAATAGGTAGGTACCATACTGGTGTTACAGTGATGTATTATTTGTTTTAAGTTCGAAATTCATACAACATTGGCAAAATGTTCAACATATAAACTGTGAATTTTTAAGTTATAAGACTGATAATTGTACTAGCGTTATTCTTTTATGGTTCACTCCTTTAATACTGTAAACATGACAAAATAACACTATAAAACATCTGGAAACTAAACGAATATAAGGGAATAAACAACTCCATTCCGGATAAAAACAACGTTTATCTTTAAAATGTGAGCGATCGTGCAGATTTGTCATTTAGACATTTTTACACAAAAACCATAGAGTTAACACTGTGCGATTTCTCACTGTTGAATATGTGAATTTAAAAATTATTCATCTTTTTAGGGTTATAAACGTGACACAATGAGGGGTTAGACACTGACAAAAGACAAGGCAATTGCATACTTATTAAACTTTTGAATTACAACTGTCTATCAACACATTTAATTTATGTTGGTAATTTGTAATTTATAATAAGTTAATACAAAAATGTGTTTACACGGTTAGTACGATATATGATCACTATAAAATATTACAAACGTTGACAAAATATGTTTTGTTAATCTACCAACCATGTTTATTATATTTATATCGAACACCGAGATCCTCCTAGCCCGTATTATAACATTTTTAAGTGGTTATAAAAGTTCAAATGTGAATTTTGCCCTTTTCATGATGTGGATATAAATTTCTGTGGTATACCGCGTTAATTTATTAGGTCGGTTGTATTATTTATTTTTTTCAGTCGCTTAGACTATGATTTACTGGAAATGTGCCTTTAAACTAATTAAAACTATTGGCCCTTGCCCCGGGTGGGATGGTGTTATATTTTGCTGGCGGCCTTGCAACCTGTATAGCCGTTCAATTTAGTATAAAGTTTATACATAGTATAATATAGTACCAAATGCGTTTGATAATAACAGCAAACATTACGTTTAGTTAATTGGTAAAGGCTTTTGAGTCTTCCTAGAAGTAAACAGAAATCGTATCCCAATTCCTAATTATTCGCTGTGTTTGATTAATAGACGGGCATCCTTCAGCCCTTTTTCCATTGATCGGTGTTAGGTACGTGCATTTTTAGGCAACTAAAAATCAGTGAACGATAAAATACATAGAATATGCTTTACAGAGAGAAAATACCAAAGGATGAGGCATGCTATACAATTGAGAAATTACTGAATAATCCAAAACGATTAAGATTCGTAGTGAGAGGTTACTGTGGTAAGAGAATATACCACATTATTGGATTTGGGTTGTTGGGTTGTGGATAAAAATGCAAATGTTGTCAAATGAAGAAGAATATGTGTGATCAACAGAATTGGTAAAATAAGAAATAATCCTACAAAAAATAAACGCTTCGTCGAGACACATTTCATTGAAAAGTAAGGATAGATATTGTGAGGTGTGTTTGTAATGAAAATTAATATATAAGAAAAATTGGACAGAACTGACTTTTGATATCAACATATTATTGTGTCTTAGGCAAACAATGAGCTAGTATCGGTTTGTTTTTAAAGTTTTTTTCAACAAAATGTTGTCAACATATTTAAAAAACGAGGCCCATACTTGATTTCTGTAAAAGAGATTTATTAAAGTATTGAAAAATATAGTGAAATATGTAACTACAAGTGTAGGAAAAAATAAATTGTTTTTGCAGTCTAGTACGCGTCAAAAATCTAATAAATTTAGACATTTTAGTATTATAAAGCTCAGGGGGGGGGGAGGCATTCGATAAGTTGAAAATTATTCCTTTTAAAAAATGCAGTGATTTTTTTCTGGTCATCGGTCAAACAAGTCTCGAAACATGTGCGTTTATTATAATATTAAAACTATTGAACACATTTATACCGTTTTTTCAAGATTTTCGTTGCAGAGAAATATTTCAAAAAGGCCACCAAAAAAAAAATGGAAAACAAATTGCACGCCTACAATTCGCATTAGGTACTTGTCTTACATCGATTTAACATTTAACAATAACTATAACATTAATACAAATAATCTATCGATAACACTATAGCAGTTTCGTCAGTAGTTTAATTTTATTAGCCGGCTTATTAATTAATTCATCTGAACCTAAACCCCGTTTAACAACCGTTTCTGATCATAAAATTGTAAGACTTAACTTGTAGCTTATGTTATACTTTACCAAGGCGTTGGAGACACAAACGCGAACGACATCATCTTGTCTTCAAAATAAACGAACAACTGTAGGATGAAGCAGTCAACACAACATAGGTGTCCATTAACATTTGTGTGTAAACAGATTGAATTCTTACATTACATTCTTACGAATACACAAGAGAACACTTGCTCCAACTCGGTTTTAAATACGACCGTGTAGGGGCCTAGATTTTTTTACTGAACCTAAAATAATTATCTAATAAACAGTGACTCCAGTAATACGGATACCTACGCAGATGTTTTTTTTCATATAGATATAACTTCTTATTCGATCTTAGAAAACACATTTGGTTTCTTGTGTTGTCCAACGCGTTTTTATAAGTTTAAATACTAAATAAAAAATCATTTTAACGGTAAACCTGATTTTTTTAAAAATATAATATCCATTTACATTGGTTCAATAAAATAAAAACGAAAATCATTAACATAAGAATATAATACCTCCCTAGTATGAAGTATTATCTATTTATTTATAATTACCTAAAAGTATATATAAATTATAATATTATTCTGATATGATTGTTTTTCTTTAATATACTCATATCATACCTATTTTACTTAAAAATACTTTGAGCCCTGGTTAAAATATAGTTTTTGTTCATAAATTATATCAAAATTCAAAATTAAATAACGTGTTCCGCCAGTGGTAGCAAACCGCTTTGTTTTCGAGTAACCGCTGTAACCATACATCAACCACTATGGTAACCGTATCATGTTATCACACATTCGAATGTTGATTGTTTACATCACTAGTGCGGCTGTTGATAAGAATAAATTGCAAACGAGAATTGGCAGGGCACGGTACATTATTATTGGTATGTTTTCTAAATTGTAACTTGTATTTCGTTAACAGTTATAGTAGTGAATGTAATAAGGTGATTGGCGGTTTATCTATGCAATATAGAGCATAACTTGAATATTCAACTTAATTATTTTGAAGTTAGTACATTTTTGTTAAAAAAAAATTTATATTTCTTATTGGCATAACCTATATAGACTAAATTGCATGTATATTGTATAGTAAGTACTAAGTACTGCATAAGAGTTAAATTAATTTTTTTAAAAATACTATTACTATAAGAAAGAAAAAATTATTGTATATGTCAAAAATGATCTAGTGTTATAGTGTGTTTGTCATTATTTAATTTTTCCCACACCAAGTGTGTACTATAATATGTGTTTTTGTTTTTTTAGAACGAAATGAGCGTTCATTGTTTATAGTAAATGGAGGTTACCAAAGTGACTAGTAAGACGAGCAGCTTAAAATCACTGGTCTTAAAAGCCTGGGGAGAACGTTGGACAGAAATCCAGTGGGGCATATCTATCAAGTCGGTATGTTGAACTCGTATTTATTAAATACGTAGATATATTTTTTATAAAAATTTAAAATTTTGTATGTTTGCCAAAACTAAAATCAGTTAATTGTCCATTCGTAGTTCAATAGATGATAATTAATTTATTGTTATTAACTATTTCTATTTCTCAAGATTTGTAGAAATTATATTATATTAAAATAGTAGACGAATGGTTATTATTGATAGGGAAAAAAAACTGAAATTTAACTTATGTGTAATTGTAATATAAATGCTTGTTTGGTCAAACTTTTCCAACTCCACACTTTTCAATATCACCCAATTGTTGTTACGATTTTGTTAAAAATAGTCTAAGTGACAGAATTTAAATAATTTTTTTGATCAGGTTTTATAATATCTACTCAAAATGACTGCCAAATGTGAACAATTTGAATCCAACAAATGGACAATTGTGTCGTCCAAAAGCCATATTCTCGGATCAGGATGTTTATTGCGCAAAACCGTGCCAGTACCGTCGTGTTGTGACTTTTGCCGCTTTACTATCGAACTGCAGCTACATCATTTACCAGAAATGGTTTTCCCTAACAATATTTTAGAAATAAAATCTAACCAATCGGGAATACGGTTCTGCGCTTTAGACGCACTCAAAGACGTTGATCCTCATAGAGCGCCGGTGAAAATTGCATGTTCCAAAGAATGGAAAGCGTCGAGAATGGGCACTGGATTTGTGGACAACGACGTCAACCCGTTCGATTGGACATACTCTACTTATTACGAAGGCACTCTGTTTGGAAAAACTGTTGTTGAACCTACGGAAGAACATATCGATATTGAAAAACTTAAAGAACCAGAAGAGATATTGTTTTACTCGGACTTAACTTTGTTCGAAGACGAACTACACGACAATGGTGTGGCAGTTTGTTCGGTGAAAATACGTTGTATGCCCAGTGGCCTTTTTACGTTGCTACGATTTTTTTTGCGTGTCGACGGCGTCATGATGCGGATTCATGACACTCGCTTGTACAGATCTATCGAGTGTGATTATTTGATAAGGGAAGTATGCCGCCGAGAGTTGTATACTTCAGAATTACCAGTTGGTCAGTCCGGTTCATTGACAGATCCTGGAAGTTTTGCAAACACTCTTCCAATAGTTTATGAACGCCGTGAAAAAGTATTTTTAGATAAAGAATTTTAACTGTATTCTAAGTATCAAAAAAAAAAAAAAATATTTATAGTAATAATTAATGTAATTGTTTATCAATTAGATCTTAAGAAAAACGATAACTAGTAATAATTTTATTTTTATTTTCGAAAATGTTTATCTATTAAATTTAAGCTTCCAAAAAAATACCATCATACAAATGTATTTACAAAAAATAAATCTATTATTTTAATTTTTAAACAGCTTTTTGTTATTTTTGATCTTTATTCAATTTTTTTTTTATGCAATAATAATTTAACCTTCGTCGTTGAATTTATTAAATGTGAAATAATTAAAATATGAAGTAAAGAAGGAAACGATTTCCTCCATAAAATATTAGTGTTGGCAGACTATTAAAATTAATATTTCTATTATTATTCTCATTATAATATAAACGTTTTTAAGGAACATCTAGTTCTGGTATTAAGTAGTATTTTTTAATGATAGTCGTAGATTTCTAAAAATTGGTTACACGGTGTTTTTTAAATTATGGCTTGATTTTGTTAAAGAATTATAAAAATGCAGTTATGAGCGATAATGATAGTACAAGTGAAATTGTTGTGTAAAAAAAGTATAAATTTTTTATCGACTTTAAAGAAAAAGCATGTCATATAATTCTGTTTTACGTAAACTAGATTTTTTAACTAGCTTTAAACTAATGCTAGAAAAGCTACGGTTTTCTCTTAGACATTTCAATTTACAGCTTATTGCATAATCAAAATATTCAACCCATAAAAAATGTAAGAAATTTAATTTTGAAAAATTTAGATTCTAGCACTTAACAATAAACAAAAATTAGAATGATTCCAAATTTGTTGTGTTTTTAAATTACCTAGTTTAAACATGGTTGCATTATTATGTTAACTTGGATAGTAATAAATTTGTGCTGTCCGAAAAATATCAGTAAAAAAAAGGAGTAATATAGTTAAGCCTAATTTTTTATTTTCTTCACTTTTTTTACAAAATTCAACTCAATTCTCATATTTTTGTTTTTCTTGTCAACTAACTAGAGAAGAATGATTTTGAAATTGCTTTTTTTATCAAGCTTATAGCAAAATATAAATACATTTTTAACGTAATTTAAATCAGCGTCAAACCCTGAAAAACCAATACTGTTAACTGAAATAATGTTATCAAAGTCAATTATACTAATTTGGTAAATTTGTCAATTATTATAGGTGTTGCCCAGAGGAGTGAGTGGCGATGTTTATAATTTGGCCGACATAATACTATCTCAAGCTCTTGTCGGGTCTTACCCTAACGAGCTTGTGCTGTCTTATTTAAGACACTCGTTAAACTGTCAAGTGAGTAAATTATATATTTATAAAAAAGAATGTAGGTATTATAAAATATAGTATTATAATTTTGTACGTAATTATATTATTTTAATTATTTTAGCTTGTGTCGTACGCAGCTATCCTTCAACGCATTAGCAAGTACGATAAATTTCACAAGAGATCGTGTGTGATTGTATTACTGGATTTTCTCAAAACCACATTAGTGCGTATGCAAATAAAATTAACCGCCACGGAAACAAGGCGTATTCAATGATTTTGTGGGAATTTTTTTAGAATGGCATTACTTGTAGAGGTAAACCCGAGGAGAGCGTGCTGGCCGGAGCACTGTTGTCTCTGGTCGACTGGTTGCTATCGTGTATACGCAGCGGACTGTCGTCCAAAGACGGTATCAAAGATCCGCTCGACGATCGGATCACCAATAACTCCATCGATATTTTGGAATCTTTGTTGAAGAATGATTTTATTCTGGCCATGTTGTACTTGGCTAAACACGCAGATGCCGGTAAGTACAGCATTGGCGACAAGTATAAGACAACAGCTGTGTTAAATTAAAATACTTTTGTTTTGCTTTTTTACAGATTTGTATGTCGTGATTGTGAAAAAATGCCAAGAAATCAGTCAAGACGTGCAGAATTCGATGGACTCGAACATTCCGCACGTGCACAATATTTTAATGTAAAAACTACTTCATCATTAATTTATACCAATGTATAATTTTTTATTTACAAAGACATTTACCTTGTTTTTAGAAATTTGTGCAACATAGACTTTAAAAATTCGACCAACCTCACGGCGATGGAATCCGTTACATCCTTCAATGAATCCATAACGTACGTGCTGCAGCCGCTGTTAGCCGTGCGTGTAATGTTAAATCCGACAGCGGAAACCCAAGTGTTGGTGGACAAGCTGAAAATGATTCGTCAAATAAAAGTGAGTGCCAAGGAAATTAAATAATTGGACAAGCCCCAATTGATTATGTTTATTCATCGCTACAGGGCTACAGCAATCCACGATTGTACTGCGAGCTGATCCGTGCGTGCCTGATGTGCTTGCGCGATTCGCTGAGCAACGAGGATCACGGTCCGCAGTGGGGCGCGTTTACGTTCATTAAATTGCCACACATCATCAAACATCTTTGCCAAGACTCTATGAGTTTTAAAGCTTCCGAAGAAGTGATTGAAGGGTTTGAAATGTTGTTGGATATGTTCCCGTTGTTGGATTTTATCGACTCGCATACGGCGTGCAGTTCCATTGAACTTCTTCTCAACGAACTGGTCAAACAAGATTTCGTCACCGAAAACCAGTGTTGCTCCATCATTGCCAGAAGGTAATAAATTTTAATCGTGCCCTAGAAATCAAAAATCGAATCTGATTGTACTAAAAAAAAAGGTTATTTTCATCTTCGACAGAGCCAGCGTTGTAACTACGCTGAGCAGCCCGGATCCTCCGTCGAACGTACTGACGATTATCATGAGAACAGAGCCCACCTTGCAGAGGATGCTTAGGACTTTGGATTCGGATTTTTCGAAAATTCAAGAAGCTCTAGTCGGTGTGCTCAGCCAAGCGCTGACAGGGACCAGTCTAGAACTGATATTGGCAGCTGCGGCAGTCGAAGGCAAACTACGTATGTTTGTAGCCAAGTTGATTAAGTTCAATGAGTTTAGCAAACAGATCAACCCGCAAGACAACCCAAAATTGGTGCGCACCAACGCCGTGTTGTTCGACATGACGTTCCTGATGTTGTGTTTCATAACACAAAAATACGGATATCAAGTAAGAGACGACAAGCATTGCTGGGCGTATTCGATTTAGAAGTTTTTATTCAAACGGTTTTTTATTTGATAACTGTTGAATAAAATATTATCTTTTTAATTTAGTTTATATTATTATTAATTAGTATTTTTTGTCGTAAGGCTATTTTCCCCGACGGAGGTAACGACACTTTTTTTGAAAAATGGTGTAAACAATGCATGGTCGAACACGGCAATCCAAAATCGCACGAAAACGTAATGGGCGAATGCGATCCGGCCAAAGTAGAAGCTTTGCTCACCGCCATCGACAAAGGAGAGGATATCATCAGTTGGTCAGTAGTTTATTTTAAATTTTTCCAATAACATATTTTTCATTAACACAAAATATCAATTTTTAGCGACACTAGTTGGGATAAAATTTGTCTTACCATAATCGGAGTTACACACGATGTTCTTGTCGCTTGGGAAAACTCTACGTTGAGCAGTAACGACGTTAAACGTATATTGGACTCTTTGCGTACTTCAATGTTTTGTTTGCCGATCTGTGCGGCGGCTTGGTTGTGTTCTTACATGCAGGTTTGTGCTAGCAAATTTTATTTTTCAACAAAAGTAGGGAATTTGAATGGTTTTTTTTGCCAGGTGTTGCACCAAGACGCTTTACTCAAACCGATGAACATGGTCCAACAATTGCTGAACGTCGTACCCGAAACCGGCGAGAATCAAGATAATTATTCTGAATGGTGAGTTGGAATCGATCGGTTAATGTAAAATGTTATCTAATAATACCAATGTTTTGCAGTCGTCAAGTTTTAATGTGTCAGGTTATAAGAAAAATGCAACAAGATCTGCACCCGCCAACGATGCCGGCCAAACCTTCACATAAGTACCGTAGTTTCATCAACTAATTTAAAAACTGCTTTTTTTAATATACGTTTAACATTTTCAGTATCGTATCCAAAGACTCGATTCTCGAACAACTCATACCGATCTGGGAAGACATTTTGGAAGAAGGTTGGTTAAATGTGAAAGCCGCCCAAAAACTCAGAACCACGCTGTTTACTGCCGGGTCTGATTGGTTTGTGAATAATTTAATAAAGGAAATGATGAAGTTGCAATACCGCGATGAACTAGAAAAAGCCGTAGATCTGTTATTCGCCATATTCCACTTTGATATCGAACACTGTACTCTGGCGTTGCTTGAACTCATGCCACAATATTTGTTCAATCCCGCAATGTAAGTTGTGCGATATGTCTGTCGGTAAAAAAACTATTATCGGTTACCATCTGGTTATTATTTTATTCAATTAATATTTCCAGAAACGTGGAATTAATTGAACCCCAACAAACAGCGTTGGCCAAATTGTGTTCGTATTGCATTCACGCTTCGGTAGAAATGCAACAGAACAGTATGGTGAAAAACGACGTCCACAAAGCGACAAATAACATGGACATAGTAATGAAAAAGCAATTATGGTTTTTTTTTGGTGAAATTAAAATTAAAAAATAATATTGTTTTCATAGGACTTTGATAATCTGTGGCCGCCCAATAAAATAATGCGTATGGACAGCGGAGACAGTGATGCGAGCGGCACCGATGTGGACGGATCATTGCAACGGGCACTGGTTGCCCTGTTTCGACGTATCGCTGTTGTCGCATCTAGACACGAGCAACTTTGTAGAGAAACCCATTTTGTTTTAAGACTACTCGAGCAGTTAGTCATGTGTGGACGAGGTTCATCGCAACTTGTTTTAAGACATTTGCCACCGTCCGTGGTAAGATTGTCTACGATAAATTATCTTTTCAGTGATAACTAAAAGATTACATTTTTAGCTTCCAAACTTGATACGTTGCGTACCGGACCTGTTCACTGTTGACTTGATATTGAATTTGTACGATTTAAACTCATCGTCTGGTCGTAACGCGGCGACTAGCGACTTGTGCTTGTTGCAGAAAACTCGGTGTTCAAAGAAAATTGAGTAATTATACTTAAGAGCTGGTTATACTTATACATTTTTTACTTATATTTTGAATATTTTTTAGAAACTTGTAAATTAACAACCGATTCCATTCAGTACTAACTGGAGTGTTTTTCAAATACACAAATACTGTACGTCGAGTCAAAGCAATAGACGATATCAAAATATCAGTTCAAAGTTTCAAAATAATATATTTTTCAGACTATTTTTGATTACTGTGAAAAAGCAATTATTATCAATTCATTATAATATATGAAACTGGAAATTAATTTATATCCCATATTTACATGATTTTTTTGTAAAATTATTATAAAATGTTGATAAAATTAAATTATTAGGTTACAATCAAAATCCAATTTTGAGACCTTAAAAAAAAAATTCTGATTTTAAAACATTATCAGCAATTCTGGGCATTATTATATCAATAAAACCCATAATTTGGCACTATAACTTTTAAGAATCATACATTTTTTTTATAACTTTCAATGACCAACCAAAAAAGTACTTTTATTTTAATCGTTTATGTTATTTAAAATTAGCCCTTGCTAAGTTTAGGGTTAATAGTGGTTTATCTTGAAAATACTCAAACAATTCAAACCTTCTTTTGCTTTGATCCGTGCATCAAAACTGATATACTCGCCAAAGATAGTTTTTGTCATTTTTCATGTTGTACTTTCTTCAGATGCAGTAAAAATTTAAAAAACGTTGATGAACTTTGTTTTAGTCTAAAACGACGTTGTTCAAACAATATCGATTAGGACTTGTTTAGTTAAAATTACAGACTTAAATAAATAAAACAATTTTTTGTTTAAGTAGTATACAAGTGTTTATTATAATAATATGCACATTACATATTTTATCAACAAACAATAATAATAATATAATAGATACCTATGTTTTGATGAAGAAACACAATTGACTTAATAGTTATATGGTACGATAGTAATAATCATAATAATAATAATAATAGCAAGCAAAATTTACAAAGGTATAAAGTATAAATGTAAAAACACACTCCTTAAAAATTATAATATAATCAGTCATAACACAAACTAAAAAAAAAAAAAAAAAAAATCAATAATATAATAATAAAAAATATGTATGTAATAATAATAATAACAATATAGAAGTAAATTATTTATTACTGTTCAATGGCTAAATATAATATAAGTAGTAATGACTAAAATGAAATTTAAAAAAAAAGAAGTAGTTATCGTAATGATAATTTTGATTGTTTTCAAAATTACCAACTTGGGTATATTATTCCCCGAAATTCTAACTAATTTATTTATTCAAATTTTGTTTGGAAATTTCCACGAAATGTCAAATACTTCAAATAGTAAAATTTACCTAAATAACTACACGTAAAATAGTAGGCGCAAAAACTCGGTTCACAAACAATATTGTAGCTTGTTAAAATTGTATTATTTCTGTATACGATAATTATAATTTTTTTTTTAAGCATTTACATATTATACATATTCTATAGTTTTTAAATAAAATAACAGTAATTAAATTATAACAGCTAAAAAAAAAAAATCGAACGTGCTCTCGATATGCCGACTCTCCGAATATTGATAACCAATATTTAACTAAAACAACAGCAAAGTTATCGATTTCAAAAGACCCCGGACAAAAAACTTTTTTGAAATACTCAAGCAGAGTTGAATTTATACTTAGAATGTTAAAAAAAAATTGTTATGTCATGTTTTCTTGCGAATGTTTACTACGAACAAATTATCCAGATTTTTTTTGTTTCATTGAAAAACAAAGAATTCAAGTAAATATAATATCTTATTAAAATAAACTGTTGATCGATTAGCACTTGGTTAAAATGTGTTCGGAAAATTGATACAGTTTTAGAAAGGCAATACATGTAAAATAAATTGTCAAAAAATAATGGCTAAAACGATTGAACATAAAAATTAACATTTTTTCATGGCATTAAAATTAAACAAAATAATTATTTGAATGAATTTTTTTAATAATTGTAAAAAAAATCATCTATTGAAATCATTTAAAACTACTAATAGTATGGCATCGAAATGATATAATATTAACAAAAATGTTTTAAGATATTTTATGTACTAGAAAATATGCTCAAAATTAACGTATAAATAGTAATTATTTATCATTATCGTTGTTGATAAATACATTTCACTCGATTCTCTGTACAACGATAACAATAATAATTACATAATATTTTCATACGATTTAATTATAATTATGTTTTTAGTTGGTAACATAAAAATTATTATTATCGGCTTAATACCAATTATGTCACTGTCGAAATTTGATAAGTAATTTTTTTTTTTTTTTTAAAGATTACGAATAATATTTTGACACACATATTTGTTTTTAAATTAAATTTATTCTACATCAATATTAATGAATAATAACCCTAAAATTTGTTACACACATGCAAACTACTAGAAAAAGTAAACTTATTTTTTTTTTAAATATATTTTTTTGGCAATTTATCGGTAACGATATGTTATTAATATCGTAACACAACTTTGATTTAAGGAATTTAATTATTTATCGAAATTTTTTAAAAAGGGTCACACGTCTAAATTAGTACAAACAAATGTATATCAGTAATAATTTTTTTAAAGTTAGCACAGTCCTTAATATATATATATAAATCGAAAAACTGAGCACGCGGTTAAATTCACATCGGTAAGGTAAATTCACATAAGTTCTATGCGGGATGAGATGAAAAAAATTGGAGATATATTCAATTGAGATAATCGATTTCAAAATTTTAGTATTATCAATACGAGATCTACGACAGAGGACAGAAAACAGACGAGAAGGGATTTGATTTACAAGTACGCTGGTGAAATATATATATTTTTTTTTTTTTTAAGTAAGTAATAAGCGAAGAAGTCGAGTCGTTTAGTATTCTGATGTTAATTTTCAAATACGTTATTATGTCACTTGAATTGAGATGAACGGTTTCGATTTATCACAGATGACGGAACGGTCGGTCGACGGATTTAAGTAATGACTAGTGGCTCGTCATCTGAAAAGCCTTGAACAGCTGGCTCATCGTCTAATTAAAAAAAAAAAAAAAAAGTTAACAAATAACAATATCAATATAACATAAAAATACACAAACATAAAACAAACTATTTTCAATTTCATACGCGAAATCTTACCTTTGAAAACTCCTAAGCCTGAAAAGCAGCACGAACAGAATACAATATAAAAAATTAAGTAAAATGTTAGTTTTTATTTTTAAACCCCATTTATTAAAAAAAAAAAAAAATTGGCTGACAGTAAAACACAACTGTTGGTCGATTGTGTCAATTATTTGAAATAAATTGAAAATGATGAAAGAAGAGAAAATTTTCATCGGTAATAATACTTATTCGTTTTTACAAAACATAAAAAATACTGGCCATTTTTTCTTTTTAATTAAATTGTTAACGGTTAGGGTTGGACCATTTTTGAATCACACTATTTTTTTTTTATAACAATGTTTGTATTTTATTTTAAGTTCTAATTTATTTACTACTACAACATGCATTTTGTAACTCAAATGAAAATTATTTAATTAAAAACTCAACTAATTTCGTTTACCTATTTGAAAAGTGAATGTTTTAAATAAACAAATTCTTTGAAACGGTAAGTAAAAATGTTGGCAATAAATTTAAATGTATTTCAACTAACTGGTTTTATTATTTGATTAAAAAAAGTATTATAAAACATTTGAATTCACTTTAATAAACATTTTTTTAAAAATATAAAAAAATAAAACTTATTTTCAAAAACTTATTGTACGCTAAACAACTGTCACTTTATGTTTGTTATATTTGGTTTTTTTTTTTTCAAGTAACTTAGCCGAATTGCACGATGAGTTTATACAAGTTTGACGTTGCGGCCATTATTAACTTTCATCCAACTTTTTTAAACAGTTTAATGACAACAGTTTTTATTTGAACAAATAAGTTTGTCGCTAAAACTACTCAAGTATTTTCCAACCTTTTTAATAAATTGTAATAAGATAGGTGTGTACAAACCGAGACTGTCAACGCCAGTAAACGTCGCCGAACCAGATCGGGTGTCGTATCTGCTATTGGCAAATTGTACAAAGCTGTTTTGTATGTTTCTATGTCTGATCACAAAGTACGCCAATCCTCCTGATAACCCAATGACTAAAATTACTAATAATATAGACGTCCAACCAGTATTGACGCCGACCACGACTGTTTCTGAAGACGCACTGTCGTCTGTAAAATCGTAAGTACATTAGTTGCTGGTTTATGGTTTTGATAAAACAACATTTTTTACATACAATTATTTGATATGAATGAGAACACTTCGGACATCCGTGAAACGTAACCAGTCTCTGTCACTAGTTGTACGGTCACAGACAACTGTTCCCCTGTCGGAGGATCGCTGATGATAAACGGTGAACGCTCAGCTTTGTAAGTCTTGGCGGATGTAGTGTTTAATTGGCTGCCCTCAGATATGCGTATCAAGTAGTGAAACCTTCAATAAAAATGTATGTAATAATCATAATGTATAAAAATGATGATTTGTTAATAACTCAATGTAACGTTTAACTCACGGAATTTGATAGAAGACTAAACGGGGACGCTGCCAGGAAACTTCGTAACCGCCGTTGGGCATATTGAATACCCTGACTTGATGAGGAACGGGCAAATCCGGTGCACTGTAATGGATGAGCGGAGACGGGGTCGCGTTCGGCGTCACGGTCGAAACGCGGATGAAATAATTGCCGCCGTAGTTGATGCCAAAATTGATTTTCGCTTCAGCGTCGGATACGTTCGGAACGGTGATTTCAAACTTTTCATTTTTGATTATCTCCAAAATGTTTACCTGGAAAAAAAAAAGGTATAGGTTATATAATCACCAAATCTGTATTAACGCATAACAGTTAATCGAGTAGTTAATGATAAATCATAAACAGTACTAATTAACAAATCAATTTTATTAGCAGGATTATTTAAAAAGAAAAAAAAGCTAATAATGGTATTGGTCAACCTGTTTGACGCCCCTCGTAAATAAAAGATTCAAATTATTCGGTTATTATAAAATATAATATATTTACTTTATACGATTGCTGAACTGGGTGACATGACGCTCGCCAGCTGATGACAATCATAGGCTTCGGAGAACCTACGAGTTGTTCGACCTTAATGGCTTTCGGAGGAATAGTTGGATCAAACGGAGTGACAATATCGAGCGGTCTCTTTGACAGCGGTCCCACTCCCAAAGGTCCAATAATACCGACATCAATCATGAGAGAAGTGCACGATTCGATGTTACTCAAAATTGCCAGTGTGCCTGTAGTGTTGTACTTGTACCCTTTAAACATCGTTTAATATTTTCCCATTAATTATTTTTTATGAGTTAGTTTTTTTTGTTGTTGTCATCGTACCACTCATCAGCTCATTGGCGTTAGTGCCGAAGTACACGCCGTACAACCATTTGGTTTTGCTCATTTGTTTCGGAGGACTCCATTGTACTTTTATCGTGGACTCTTTTTTGTCTTTTACGTTTACCAAAGAACCAGAAATATTTGTCACGCATGGCAAAGGTTGGCCTTATTAGGGAAATAACAAATGTGTTGTTATAATAATTTAAATTTTTTAAATTTTTGTTTTTATAATTACCTTCAGTTTTTGCAACAATGGTATACTTTATACCTATGTATCGACTGTTGTATGGCGTAACGTTAATGGTGTAAATTACTCCAGGCGACAATTTAGTTACTAAAAAAAAATAACACATACATTAAATAACATAAAACATACAATTGAATTTATTATGTCAACTTATAAATAAACCTTACCGGTATATTTAATTATGCCTTTTGTGCTAGTTACGTTGAACGACTGAACCGAGTTCGGATAAGGTCCATCCTTGACGGGCGCTACAGACATGACGTTAAAACCTTCTGCGTAATCAATACTTTCCCAACACAATGTTATGGTGTTTTCTGTCGTATTGGTAACGTTCAATTTCAAATCGATGTCAACCAAAGAATCTTCATCGAAATGGAATCGTTTTACCGCTGATCTTTCGGATTCATACTCCGACGATCTGGCAGTGACCTACAACAATAAAATATTAAAAAGCCTAGTTAGAAATTACTACTAATTATAGATAATTAGATTATCTTTCAGAATGAACTATGTGTACCCAAAAACTGTATTCGATATTTTTTTTATACAACGAAGATCTAACAGGATACGATTGTGTGGCGTTATTGAAATCGGCTTCTACTGACAGCACCATGGGCGGATGTGGAGGTTCTATATACACGTTGTACGATGAAATGCGTCCGGCTGGATTTTCGGGTCTAGTCCAAGTCACTTGGACTTCTTCGGCATTTACTTGTTTGACGATTACATTTAACGGAGCGCTCGGAACTGTAAAATGCAGATGTTTTTTTTAGAATCGTATCAAGAAAATTATGAGAACAGGACTTACCGCCTTCGGCCGTCGAAGCCAATACGTAGTAAGCTGGTGGATATACAATTGTGGGCAAATCATTTTGACGGACATACACGGTCATATTGTAGGCGGTGAATGGTTTAAGCGAAGTGAACTTATAGCTTGTTTTAGTTGTCCATGTTGTGTTGACAAACATTTCAGGTACACGAGATTCACTGATTGACGGTAAATACTCCAAGCTGATGTTTTTTGGTGCTGCCCAATAAAGTGTCAATGAGTTCGATGTCGATTCATGCTCTTCGACAAACATCAGCGATACCTAAAATAAACCGTTGTCAATGGTTATTATGCCGTTATACAAATAATTAAGGTAATTGCCTTAGCACAAAAAAAAGTTACAAAAATCTGTGTCAAGCCACTATTTTAATGAAAAAATGTTATCTTAAAAAATTATAATGACTTTAAATTATTGTTTGCAACGAATTAATGAATGAATTACCCAATAACAAACAACAAATAAACAACACCAATTTTTTAAATTTTTTACCCCAAAAATTATATTTTGAAAAATAGACGTTTTTTTCTTTTCTAAATCCCGATAATTAATATAAAATGTAGTATTTGACTCACTTGAATACTTGAGGTATTATTAACAGAATTACAATAATCCTCATCAGTGCCGTCGTAACAGTCTTTGTGTTGATCGCAGCGTTTTGATGTTGGAATACAGCGATTACTGTCGCAAGGGAACAGACCGATTCCACAACTTGGTGTACCCGGAGCTAATCGAAAACAATTTTTTTTTACTAACTCAATACTTTTATATAAGGATTAAAATTTACTACTTTGATTGGTATTTGTGCAGAACATCTCATCACTGCCATCCGGACATTGCGGTGTACCATCACACACTTTTTCTATTGCTATGCACGATCCAGAAATACGACATTTAAATTCTTTGCTGTTGTTCTTGCATAGGCCTACGAAATTACTGTTCTTGCAGTCGGTTTCGTCTTCTCCTTGATCGCAATCGTTGATTTCGTCGCACACCCATGAGTCTTCGATGCATAAGCCTACAGTTATTTAACAGATATTCTAGTTGATAACAGTTTTTTAAAAAAAAAAAAACACTTACTTCCTCCTTTTTGAGGAAGCAATAACTCACCTGAATTGCATTGAAAGTAATGTTGGGGGCACATGCCAACAGTTGAAGCCCTTGTAGTCGATACTACGGTGCTGTTATTCTTTGTGTCAGTCGGTGTCAACGTTCCACATTGTTCTTCGTCAGATCCATCTTCGCAATCTAACACCTGGTCGCATTTCCACCAGTACGGTATACACTTGCCGTTACTACAGCGGAACAACCATTCGCTGCATGTCCCCTATAATATTTTTCAACAATTTTTGTCTTTTAAATGCTGCTTACAATATGATTTTTTACATTCATACATTTGTACTAAATGGCAATAATGGAGTAGTCTGTTCGTTGGGATTCGGCTTAGGTGTAGACGAACAATTGAGCTCGTCGCTTTTTAAACCATCGTTACAGTCGTCGTCTCCATCGCATTTCCAGGATGCAAATATACATTTTTGATTGGCGCACTAAAATCATATAATATGCATTTATAAGAACAACCTTCATTCGAATGGAACCTTAATTCTGTATAAATTATTAATTACACAAACCTCAAATTGCCAAGACTCGCAGCTCGGTGTTTTACAACTGAGTTCATCGTCACCGTCTGGGCAATCTTTTTCGCCATCACATTGCCATTTAGCCGGGATGCACGTATTCGAACCAGAACAGTGAAAACTACTCGCTAAAACAACAGTTTAAATATGTTAAACAAATTTACGAATAAATTGGTAACATAGTTCAACAATAATTTGTCTTTCAATGCAAAACAAATTGTGTTCGTTTTAAAGGGCACAGTGGTTTGTAAGCCGATTATAAACGGCTTAAAAATTGTAAAATCATAAATCCGAATTATTCAAAATTAAACTCCGATAGTAAAAATTAAGTACAAATGAAAAGTCCGTCTAGAATCGAATGGCCTACCACTGTGCGATTTCAAATCTATGATTAGTAAAAACATGTATAAACGAACTTGGACAAGTGGTTGAAGAACTGTTGGTAACATTTGGACAATCAATTTCATCGGATCCGTCGTGACAATCGTCTTCCAAATCACAGCGCCATTGCATGGTAATACAGCGGCCATTCTTGCAACGAAACTGTCCATCTGAACAATTGGAATACTCTGAAAGCATTTGAATGTGTTTTATTTTGAAAATGTATAACACGTCTAATAATGTACTGTTAAGTAAATTTAAAACTTACTACAATTGAGTTCGTCAGAACTGTCTTCACAGTCAGGATCAAAATCGCACTTCCAATAGGACGGAATGCATTTGCCATTGCTACATTGAAAAGAACTTGGTCCACACGATACTTTGGTGCATTTTTCCTAAAATAAGACGAAACGTTACCGTGAGTTGTAACTCTCAAATTTGAACAAAGTATAAACTGTACCTCATCGGAGTTATCTCCACAGTCGTTGTCTCCGTCGCATTGCCAATACTTTGCCACGCAGTTGCCATTTGTACATTGGAAGTAATCACTCGAACAAGTATGACCGACTGTGTTTGAACAAACAAATAATTGTACAGTTATTTACACATGTTTCGACAGATCGTAGCACAAAAAATGTAATTACCAGACGGACAAGTCCCATTAGCGTAGGGTTCTTTTTGACCAGGACAAAGACATATGTTACCGGATTTATTCATGCTGTCCGGACACTGGCAGGAAAACTTCTTATCAGGTAGACCGAAACAAAAATGCGAACAAACATTAGTGTTGGCGCATTCGTTTGTGTCCGTTTGCGACATGTGTGAAAACACCTATATGTAAATTACAGTAACGTATTAGTAATAATTATTTAAGCTTTAAAATTGGTTACAAACTTTTAAATCCATAAGGCCGGGCAACTGTGAAGCAACTGTTTGTATTTTAGATCCGTGGTCTTTGTCTGACATGAATATCGCATTTTGTTTCCAATCGTCCCAATAAATCCAATCTTTCAGAACTGCTACAGCGAACGGATGAGACACTTTTTCCTGATATCAAAATTAAAATTTTTTAAAATAGTCTGTACAAAGTAAAAATATGTGTAACAAAAAACTTACACTTACATCGTTTTTAATAATTTTTTTGAAATTATTTCCGTGCAAGTCACTGGACGCGATATAATCGTGACGAGCGTCCACCCAATATATTCGTTCAGCAACATAATCTACCGTCAACCCGTTTGGCCATTCAACTGACTCGTGACTCACTAATGTTTTAACGTCTGATCCGTCCAAATTAGATCTGGCCACCTTGGCCTCACCAACTGCCCAATCGGTCCAAAATAGGTAACTGTAAATTCATAATCGAGTTAGAACTTGAATCTTAAATTGCATAACAAATATTTAAAAGCCGTCCATACCCAGCACGAGGATGAACCGCTATGCCGCGTGGCTTTTTCAAATACATGGGGCCAACGACCGTCCGACGCATATGACCTGGTATTTTGGTATTGGTATGTATGACTTCGATCTTGGACAGCGCACCGTCGACAAAGTACAAATGTTTTGAAACCCAATCGTAAGCCATTCCTTCGACGCTGTTGAGACCGGAATCTACCAAAATTTCTGGACCCTCTTTACCGTTGGATAAACATTGCCGCTAAAAAATAAAGAAAAGTTGAAATAAAAATAACAATTTGAATATGTTTAAAACATGTATTCAATTACCCCAATTGTATCTGTCACAATGTCAGCCCAAAATACGCAATTGTTTTTTACATCAAATTCAACAGCAATAACATTTTCTAGTTTACGAACGGGTAAAACTTCAAACGGTTTGTCGCCTAGATCCAAACGAATAATACGTTCTTTTTGGGCAACTAGAAGAAATTCTTGCTTTTCCCTAAAATAACAATATAAATTGGAAATATAAATTATATTATAAGGTCTCGACCAATTTAGTGAAATTGTGTATTAGAATTATAATTATACTAATTATCAATTATAATTGACATTAATATTAAATTGCAAATTGAACTTACTCGAAAGGACAAGGAACTTCTTGTGGCATAAATTCCATTGCACGTCCACCCTTGCACGAGTCGCCTGGGATCAAGCGATATCCTTTTGTGCGATTATACATTAAACCTGGTTTGCAAGACGGTGGAATTTTATAAGGATCGATAGTGCTCGTTTTGTTACGAACACACGTCTGTTTAGAACTGGACCACCATGTGAAACCGTAATCACTATAACAATTAACAAACAAATTAAATTAAAGTATTAAATATTCAAGTCTACTTTAATTACCATGTAAAATCTTCAATATCACAATCGCACGCTACCGTCTGAACCGGTCGAGCGTAATTTAATCCGTTGTAACAATTTGCTTTGGGTGCTCTTCTTTGAAATATTTGCGTCTGACCGAGAACACAAGACGTTTTCAGATGGTTTTTAGTAGAACTAGGAGACCAAAATTTGTAATCGTCTTTGGTGCAATTATACGCTAAACAAAAAGTTACGTAAATGGTTAACACCTACTGTATGAACATTATTAATCATTAGCAATTGTAAATTTTAGAAAACTACTAACAAAAAGCGTTTTTCAAATCAATTTTCACTATAAGCCATTCGTGTTTTTCCATAACTGAGCCGAACATTGTGAAAACAGTTGTGTTTTCTCCGGGTTCGGTCATGAGTTCGTAGACTTTTATTTTGCTGTTCGTAAAGTTTTGTTCGAGCCATGTTTCTCCTTCGTCGGTTGAATAGAGGATTTGGCTGGTCTCCTCTTTTTCCGATTTATAGTAACGAACGGCGACCAAGGCACCTCCGTGGTCTCCCATATTATAAAAATGCATTTCTTTCAGAACTTGTCTCCACGTTAGACCGGCATCTCTGCTGACGAACACTCCGGGATTGCCCTTTAATGACTTACCGACCACACCGGTAGCCATTATGATGCCCGGAGCTGACGCCGAAGACAAAATAAACGTATGAGTTCTGGTGACAGGATAAACATGAGCAAACATTTGGGTAAGATGCAAAGAACAGTTTTCGGTCTGAATACAAAAAAATAATTAATAATTAATTTACAACAATAGAGTCTTAAACGCAATTAAATATCCAAACCTTTTCACAATGTGTAAACGAACGTGTCACATTTAACGACCTCCACTCGAAGCCCCAATCGAACGTGATCAATGTAACCAAGTGTTCTGGCGCTATGTCCACACTGCCCGCCGGCGTTCCAGATAGGATCTGCGATACTATATATATTCCTTGGAGTCCTTTCACCTTGTGCACGTCTGCAAATGGTTCTCCCCACAATTCGCTAAAATAACACAGACCACAAATATTGTTAATCATTATACTTAAACTGATAAATGGTATACAAAAAAAAAAAACGAAATCAATATTATATTACCTAATCAAAGACTCCGTCCATGTAATGTTCGGAAAGTATGCGACTACTCTTTCAAGCGACAAGCTGAAGGTGACAGTTTCTTTGTTGGATTGAAAAACGTCAGATATATATAGATTTGATAGTGTACGTGTATGAGCGACCGCTACCATTATTCGATTGGAGGTGATATCGGCTATGTAATAGTCTCGTCTGTCAAGTTCCGTGTCAAAACGAGATCGAATAAAATTACCTCCTTTGTAGCTGATCAACAAGTCCAAATTATTCTGGGGAAAATATACAACACACATAAAATACACACAAACAAGCTAATTGGCGGCCGCTCTTTGTTGTTATGAGAATCTTACTTTAGACAATTGAGTGGTGACAAACATGAAATCGTCTTTGAATTTTAACTGCAATACGTTGACTGCCAACGTAGTTAAATTATTTTGACCAAAGTTTATGTTTTCCGACACTGCAATAACGTTAGATGTGGTCAACGATTCTTCACGTTGTATGATGAACGAATAACCACGTTTATATAAATCCCACGTCACTGGAATCCAAAAGTACGCCTTTACGTGCTCTTCTAAGACTGCCCATGTTTTGCCAAAATCGTGAGTTATCCACAACTAAAAATATTGACCAAAAAAATGTAATTAATATAAAATTAAAAAAAAAACCAAGAAAGTAATACCAACATTAAATTATCATGGATATTTTTTACTTAAATTACAAAAAACAAATAATAGGTAATTTGAAAAGAATGAATTTTTTAAGTAACATTTTTATTTGATTTAATTATTTAAACTGATTTCTCTTATTATTCATTAACAAAATTATTTTTAAATAAAACAGAAAATGTATAAACAATATATTTAAGAATAATTTAATATAGAAAACAAATTAATATTGTCAAGACCACACCAAGATCATTTTTTGGGATAAGATGATTAAATGTATAAAATTGGTGTTTAATTATACATAGAATACCCTGAATAATTATGATAACATGTTTTAATAATACGTTAGACATTTCAAAATCATTTTTTAAAATAATATTTAGCGCCAGAACATTATTTAATATATTTTAAAAATTTTAACAAACTATTTGACATTTTTTCGCTGTACGAGTGTTGCCCAAAAAACATTTGCAATTCAAGTATTAAATGGTAGACTAAATTTTTAATTTTTAGAACCAAATACACATAAGACAATTTTATTTTTAGACTTATAATGAAAACATTTCTGATAATGCTAAAAAAATGATTGGTTTAACACAATAATAAAAATACAATTTTATTTAATACAGTAAATTAAAATGTGTTTTATTATTTACAAATTATAATTTGTTATTTAAATAAATAAAGGGACACATTTGTATACACAAAAAATTTGATTTAAAGTCAATTTTTTTTTTTTTTATTGCCTAAAGTAATTTTTATTTAAACGATTAAAATAAATAAATTAGAAATATAAATCAACAGGAGTATTATACATAAATTAGAGTAATATATATATATATATATATATATATATACACACAAAACATGTGGGGTTTTAATTCCAGTGAAGTAGGAGAAATTGTTGTTTGGAAATATTTTATTCAAATAAAAATAATATAATATTTATTTTTAAAAGTTTTTATTTAAATACATTTCTAGTTTTAATAATTATTTTAATTTGTATTTAAATAATTTTTTTTCGAAAGAATGTGAAGTTTTTTTGTTTTTTCTATTTTAACTTTTATATTATTGATACAATTGACCATTGTCTGACCAACATGGACTATAGATACAAAGTATTCATTTTGAATTAATTATGAAAACTGAATTAAAAAAAAAAAAGAATGAATTCTATTGTAGCAAACAATCGTAGTGGTCCATTGATAGTAACGACCAAATTTTTTTTGTTTCAAATAACTTTACTGCCGAAAAAAATGAACCTCAAGATTCCACAAAGGCAATTAACAGTCAATAAAATTTCAGCTGACTAGAGCAAAAACTCTTTATTTTTCATAACGATAACATCCAAACATTATATTATGTTTGAGACGATTACGCTAAATCAGTAATATTACTTTCGATGTTATCTGACTATTGTTTTTATTATTATATCAATGTTATGACTCCTGAGATATTTTATAAATATATGTAATATATAATATATATTTCTATATATATTTATACAAGTAATGTACATTTTTTTTAACAGAGATATAAAGACCAGATCTAATAAAATACAGATTATATAATGTACGACCTTTGTATAATCTATTTTTTTTCCTTCTATTTCAAATATCGACCTTTTAAACGTCAATATTGATTTCTCGACAAAATACGTGATAAACAGTATTCTACTGCAAACTGCAAACGAATCACTACCTATTTGATAAATTTGAATGCCTAACCACTATGTATAAGAATAATTGAAGAAGAAATTAACTTTTTTATTTTCTTTGTAAAAACATATTTCTTAAACAGTCAAATATTGTTTTTAAATGTATTCACTAAAACCTGTTATTGTGAAACAATTACGATACCTCGTCGCAGTTAAGGGGTTTATACACTAGCATTTATTAAGGCACATTCTACATAACATTTTAAAATTATTTTTAAGTAATTAATAATTTCTATGTTTTTTATAATTATACAATAACACGAAAATTAATAATGTACTTCGATCAATACATCAATAGAAAGTATTAAAAAATCTATAACTGTTATCAAAACTATTATCAAATTATGTGTTTCAAAGTATGTTTAAAATTGAAATGAGTTGTTTTCGACCAAAAAATAGTAGGCAGGTGTATAGGCCCCTTAATGTAAAACTAATGCAATCGTAAAATATAGTCGTTAAATACTACATATTGTTTAGAAACAATAAATCCAAAAAATACAAATAATGTCCACATTTAAACTATTCAAAACTCAACAATAACAATTAATACTGATGTTGCACATTAAAGATGTTTTTGTCGGACTTGTTGATTTGTGACAGATTTAAAACAAAATTATTAACTAAGAATTACTAGTTATTATCTCAGTAAGTCATTTTCATTTCATAAATAAAATAAAAATAGGTAAATTATAATAATATTTTCTAGGCTAATTTTTAATTAAAAAATATTAGCCTACAAAGGCTCTAATCTGAAACATTAAATATGTTTAAAAGATAATTAAGAAATTAAATTAACGCATGCGTATAGGTCTACATATGTAAAGTAATTAAGACAATTGTGTTGTTAATGATGTCTATTGTTAAAGTCCAACAATTATGTTTTATTATGGAATAAAACACGACTACTAAAATAGCGATCACACTTTTGTAGAATGATTGGGTTTCGATCATTTTTACAATTATTTTATTTTAACTGCTCTCATTGAAATCATCTTAATACCGACGAAAAAAAATATATCGGCCCATGAAATGTTAATAGCCGTGAAGATTGTAGTATAATATTTCAATGGCGACAAAATAGAATAATAAGTTCTAGACAGTCAAACCCAATAGAATATGAATAGAACCTAGAGATTTACAACATCCTGTCTAATACCCCAACAAGTTTCCTGTGCAATCAATTCAATTTGGACGACAGGAAATGATAAATCATCCCACACGAAAGTCATAACCAAAATATTTTTAAATAAATAGTATTCAATAACACAAATCGTATTGGTAACAAAATATACCGATTAAAATATTTCATCGCCAACATTGTGGGTAGAAGCGATTTCATACTCTACAAACCCCACCAACAAGTTTGTCGTACTTACTTGTTTTGTAGGACTGTTTTTGTCGTGTACAACAAACACAAACGGTATATCGGGTCTGTAAGCTACTTCGTTTGGCTCAAAAGCCAGTTGGATCGATTTGATTGATCTACTGTGATCGTTTGTGGTGAAGATTTTACGATTAGCCACATCCGTATATACACACTAAAACGAAACAATTATTACTTACTGGCAAAATTTTAAAATTGTACAGATATTATTTTTAAACTTACATATGATTTAAACGTCGGATGTATGTAAAACTTATCGATGGAAGCGTACACATTTTTGGCGGTGTCTATTTTAAAACTATCCGTTTTGTTAATGTAGGTGTCACCGTAGTCGTAAGACACGTATACAGCAGAAGAAAGACCACCTTCGCGAGCGAGACATATGATCACATTTGAATTTTCACCAACCCAATGGACCATCAACTGTTGCCGACTTTCATTCAAATGTATTACCTTAAACAAAAAAATTAAATAGGACTTTAATGAAATATTTTAAATTCTAAATTAAATATTAGGTATGATCAATTACCTAATCGGAAACCTATATTGTTTTATGCTACATTATATTTTTCAATAACACACTTAAAGATTTTTATGTCTTAATTCAGAAATAATTAGTAAGCATTTTAAACTATAAATCCAACTCAATGACATAATGAAATAATACGTGGTAGTACTGGGACAATTTTGGAAGAGAATATCATTGGATGTTAAATGGAATATTTAGAAAACGTAATAACACTGAGAACAAACTATATGTGAAGTAGATAATGAAGAAAAGTTAAAGAATAAATTATGATCGATATCACAAACAGATTAGGTATAATGTTAAATACATTTTAATTGTATGTTTGTTATATAATTGTTTATTCAAATTATTAATTAAAATATAAAGATATCGTAAGACTGTATCATATAGAACTCAATAAAATTAATATATTATTGGTACGAACAAATTTAAAAATATAATTTCTTATCAGACATTGACAAGGGTTTTTCAATAGTATTTTTTATCGTTAAAAAATATGTAGTTTACTCAAGTGCATTATTGATCAAATATTCAAGTGGAATATACTAAGTACATTATGGTAAACATATTATAAGTTTTCAAGAATCGTTACTTCTACGATTCGAAAACCAAATAGGAGGTCGTAAACGCCAGGGCAAATTGGTACAAATCTAATATGATCATACGTTGAATAATACCAGTAAGCTATATTGATTGTAACATTTTGTAATCATTTATTATATTTACCAATATATAATCACTACATATGTATGGAGACTTACTTTGGACGTAATGTTGTTGTCGATCACCTTCACGACAGGAGGACTGTCTCGCTTATGCCTGTCCAACGATGCCGACAATCGAGCTGGGTCTGCCGTAGCGTATGCGTCGCCGGCGAAATCCAAGTGACCGCGGACCGAACGGCTATCATCGTTGTAGACGGACAACGACGGTGCACTGGGCAATGCGACCGCAACCAAAAGGCAAACGGTCCACATCGAGGTGGAGGGTTTCATGATTACACTAGACTTACAGCGACTTTACTATTGAAACGACACGGGAGACTTTAAAACGACACATAATATCATCTAGTAGAAGAAACGATGGAGAAAAAAAAACGCCAAAGCACTGCGACCACTCAACGAAGGTTCGCGCTCGTCACGACTGACATCCAAAACGAACGAATCGGCGAATATAACATATAATGAAAACTATATTATATTTTATTATTGTTGTTGATGTTTTTTTTTTTTTTTTATTAACGGTACCGCAATTTTTTTTATTTCGCACACTATTCGTCAGCGGACGTCGGCTCGGACTGCGATCGGATTTTGCAACATGTTTTTATTGATAATGGCAGCGATGCGACGATACGCAAAATATAAAACACAAACAGATAAGACGACGCCTGACGTACCACCGCCGCCCACCACTACCGCTACACTGTGCCGCGGGACGATCGTTTATTATTATCCGCACGCTGATTGGCGGACGACGGCGAGCGGAAAACGGGTGGGCGGGTGGGAGGGGGGAGGATGGGGATCCGTTCTCTCATTATTATTATTCCATAATCTGCAGTGCTGCTGCAGCGTGCTCGTGCTGCCGCCGTCGCTGGTTTCGTGTACTGCCGCCGCCGCCGCCGCCTACGATCCTGGCGAGCCTGGCGGCCAAACCATTTCAGCTCGCCGGCGCTGGTGCCTGGTCTTCGTTTGCCGTCGGTCAAGCGCTCGACAGACTTACGGGATGATGTTTTGCAATAAGTGGGCGACCGGCGACAGTGTTTTTTTAAACCGTTAATGGCCAATTTTTTTGAAATTGTATGTTAGGTATAATACAATTTTTTTTTTACACGTATTAAATTATCAGGAATTTGGGAAAAATAAAAAGTTAAGAGATTTCATACAGTTACATCAATACATGGACATGTCCTGCAATCTTGTATCTCTAATATCTTATATCAAATCCACTAGCTCTATTGATTCACCTCCATAATTTCTTAATACTCCTCTATACCCCTCCATAATCCCTCAATAATCCTCCTCCATAACCCATAATGGCGGCACGTTTTGTGTCACATGCGTGACGGACAAATTTTCAGAATGACTCCCAGCCATAAGACATATCCATGTCAAAGTGTACATCTAAAATAACTACGTTCATAATATCTGGTAGATAGTAGTTTCTTTGATAAATCTACTTTGATGGCACCACCTAAATTAAAATATGTAATTTTTCTAACAAAACAATTATGTAGATACCTAATAAACATGTTACGTTTCTGTTCTACAATGGGCACTGAAGGGGTTAATTGGAATTTTTGTTTTTTCATCTAAAGGCAGCGCCTAATTGTATATGTTATAGTTCCTTTTTGGATCCATCTTCAGTCTAATTTTCAGAACTAATCTCTAAAACTTTGCTTGAAAAAAAGAAATACAGACAAAAAATGTCTATTCCTTCTAGGAGAAAGGGCTTATGATATTTTTGGTTTTTGTCAATGTTTATTTGTAGTACTATGTTTTAGAATATATATATATATATTTTTTTTGGGTGTTTTTTCTCAATTTTGAAGATTTTGTAGAGTTGCTACATGTGAAGAAATCGATTCAGCGGTTTAGAATATTATATCATGGGCCAGACACAATTAAACACATCATTTTAAAAACAAAATACCTTCTTAGCCACGCATCCAAGCCAAAATTAAATTTATGAAAGTAAAAATAATATAATAAAGATGTTCGACGGTGATATAAAAATACCCAAATAAAGTGGGCCGCGTCCCTGCAAGTCACGCACCACAACAATGGACAGTTTTCATTATAACTTTTAGATATGTATAAATATATTTATGTGAGCCATAAGAAGTCTTCTTTTAAAAATTGTTTTTTAAATAATCATTCCTATTCACACATTATGTCATTGTATCGTTGTCATCAGACTTGCTGATTATACATATTTTGTATAGATTGTAAATAAAGAAAATATTTTAATAAAAAAATGATAATAATAATAATCATTGATCAATACATATTATAATAATAACGTAAATAAGAAATATGGAAAAACTATAAAGTGTAAAATAAAATGCGCGAGATTCAATAATTGAAACTCGAGTAGGGAAGTTGTATAACAAATAACTTTATTTTTTTTTATCGATAGTTGGTAAAAAGAAGTTTTTGCGCAAACCACGTTAAAAAATATTAATTTTTGGTCGATGATTTTGTTCGCAAGAAAAATATGCTGAAGTTTTTAAAACAATTATTCAAATAAAATCTGTTGCTGTATTAAATTATGAAAAAAGTACAATTAATATTATAAAGTAAAAACATATTTGTTTAAGGAGTAGTTTTAAAAGGTACCTACACAAAAAAGAGTACCTACTTTGACTTCACACGTTGCTTACAATTTTTCTGAGCAACGCGGGGAACACAAAAGCCAATTTATGTTTAATTTGTATATTCTGGCTTATGTTTTTGACTACTTGCATTATTAATTTTTATAATTTATACATTCTACAAAACAAACTCCTACATTTTTTGCAGATGCGAGTTTTTTGTTATCTTTAAAAATGCTAAATTACACAGAAGGGCCTGTGAACTCTCTGACTATACCATGGCCCGACTTCTCAACTATACTATTAGTCATTGTATCGAAGAAGTGAAAAAAAATACCAATATGAAATAAGTATTTATATCAACGTATTGTGATAAAAATAGTAATATGTTAGACTTTAGTTTGCGAAGAACAAAAAAAAAAAAAAATATGTTACCCAAAGTTTACCCTTTATAATACTTAAAATACATGTTAGTGTTGAGAAATAGGTAGGCACCGATGAAAAAACAAATCATTTTTTTTAAAAACTGTTGTGTGTCGGATCAAATAAAATATAATTGCATAATCGACAGAAAAATATTGTTACATGTACCTCATTATACATTGTAATTGCCTAGTAGTTCACAATCTCATTATACATTCCATTCCTATATAATATTATACACTGCCGAGTTATGTGTTGACCACCTCTGACCTCTGTTGTCTGCACCGTTAAGTGTATTGTACACCGACTTCGATAATAATATGATTTTTATTGAAACTAATTTACAATCTGCGTACACAACAAGTCTATTAATTATTAATGCAACAATACAGGAAGCAGATACGGTAAGTGACGCCTCCAGACGATTTTAAGAATAATAATATAATGTATGTATTAAAAACATTAAAAAAAAAAAAAAAGATAAAATAGGATAAAGGTTTGCTGTTGCTATACACTAAACGATTAAATTGCGTGTGAGGTCATTGTGGACGTTGTCGCCAACTGTTGAATCCATGTAGATCACTAAAGTCATTGAGAATAAATTGTGATTTAAGTATATAAACTGCAGTTCAAAACTCTAGCTCATTGCACAATGTTTGCCAAATGTATTTACTATTATTGGACAATATTTATTATCGGTCGAATATAAATTTGAAACGCACATAGTGTAGGCGAGAGAGGAAATAATTGAGACGCTTATTAAGACAAGGACATTTTTTTTTAACGAAACTTTATAATTTCGCCTAATTTATTACCATTTAATGGGTTGATTTCATTTATAAAATGTAATTTTTAATTTTAATTTAGCCTAAAAATGTTTTTAAAAGTTGTAAAATTGGGCATTTGTTCTAATTAAAACTTTTAAAATTGAAAGTTTTTGTTTATTTAATAAAAAAAAAACACTTGTTGAATCTATGAAATTTAATAAAAATGTTATACAGAAAACAATATTAACTTTGAGAACATTACAACTATTAAAAGTAGTTATCGCAATATTTTACCTTGTAAGACTTTTTTAATCACAGTTGTACTTTGGCTTATAAAATAACACTTATTAGGCCCGTTTTCTAGTAAATTGTGTTTTCTTATTATGGTATGTTCCTGTATACATACTAGGTCACAATATTCTACCACAATAAAAAAAAAAAAAAAGGTATACATAAGAAAAAACGCATTTTGAAAAAAGCCGAATCGGGCCCTTGTTCTTAATAACTAATAAGTGTTTGAATTATGAAAGACATGAAAGACGAGGTAACAAGCGGTACTTTTCGGAAAATCATTAACATACTAAAAATCGCACCCCTCTGCTAAATTTTTGACGGAGGGTTAAACACCCTCAAAAACCAATTTCTTAAAAAAGTCTTGAAAAATATTACACTTATGGATATTAAGTTTATTGCACGGGGAATGTTTTTAAGGAGTTTTGTATAGGCAATCTTTAAGAAAAAAAAGAGTTTTAAAAAACTTCGACCATGTTCAATTAATTTATCGGTTAATTTTTATACGCTTCAGGGTATTATTTTTAATTTAAATAATTTTTCTATGAATAAAAGCTATATTGGTTTATTTTAGATCAAAAAGCCAGGCAAAAGGTGGACTACATAGGATGGTCCATTTCAGTTCTGTAAAGAGTTCTTTGGCTACTCTACTAAGTTTTGTAGGAAGCCGCTTTTCGTTTAAAAATGTCAGTTTCTTGTAATTAAATAAATTAAATTTGTAATTTTTACATAAAAAAAAAGCAAAGATCAAAAAGCTGTTTTCCTCAAAACTTAGTAAAGATGCCAATGAACTTATATGTAGGTATATCTTTACAGGTCAGGAAAACAGCCCGAAATTGACTATTTTTGGAAATGTAATAACGTTAACGCTAATGTTTACATTGTCGAAACATATTTCTAGACTCTATTTAATGACTTAGTACTAATGTTGCATTTGTATAGTGGTATTGGTTTATATACGTGAAATATATATATTTAAAAACCCCAAAAAATACAAATCTACCATTTTAAGTATAAAGTAGGTGCGATGTGCTTCTGAAACGTACCTGCGGCGGAAACAGATATTGAAATAATTTGCAACGATTTAAAAATGTCTTACACATATTTATCCGATACTGATTTATCGTATTGCCGCTAAGATCTATGACGCGCAAGTGTTGGTAAATTATTACTCAAGTGGAACGTTTATTTGACTCGAATGGATTTCCATGACATGAAAAATGTTTAATTGTGAATAATAATTTTATTTTTAACTACGAATTAAGTTGAACATTTGACTAGTTATGAAAATTATTGTTTGATTATTTGGAAAACGGCTCAACATAATGTTCAACTTTAATGTAATAATAGTAGTAGATGACTTCAAATGTTTGAGCTTTATTTCAATACATTTCATTTTTATGTAAAAAAATTGGGTTTCAATATGGAAAAGATTGCAAATTAAATTTTTTAACTGCAAAAAATAAACCAAACTGGCTTTTACACAATAAAATAATTATTTAAATTAGAAATAATACCTTGGAGCTTATAAAAATTAACCGGTAAATTTATTGACATGGTCGAAATTTATTAA